ACTAAGCAACCCACTTTCATATATGCATTTCAAAAGACCAAGTCCCAATTAAAAATTTTTTTTAATTGGATAGATGTTTACCTACATTAGCACACATTTTCCTACTATCTAGTCTCCTGCAAAGAATTTGTTTTAAAAGCATAAATAATAATCATGGAGAAAATTTTTTAATTTAAATGTATTTATGTCATGTTTATGAACATTTTGCCTGCATGTATGCCCACACTATGTGTGTTCTTGGTGCCCACAGAGGTCAAAAGCGAGCATCAGATCCTCTAGAACTAGAGCTATATACGGTTGTGAGGTGCCTTGTAGGTGCTGGGAATCCAACTTTAACTGAATGCCGCATCTGAAAGGTACTTGCATTCTCCTCAGTGGGATGGCTGGAGACTTTAGGGAAAGTTCCTTTCTGTTTTGTGTGAATACAAACCTCCATCCGGGCAGTGGTGGTGCCTGCCTTTAATCCCAAGTGCTTCACCACAGCTGGATCCAGTGTCTGCCCTGCAGGGGTTCAAGGCGGGAGGTCAGATCGGCTCAGACAAGGGAAAAGCAGAGGGAGTATTGAAAGTCTTCGCATTTTGTAGCTTTTCTCTCTGTGTTTCCATGGTGTCTGAAATCAGGATGTGGTCCCGAATGAATGACAACAGGAAACACTTGGATGTTCATTCTGTCTAATTGGGCTTCTTGAACCTCACGTAGACTGACTGTTTTGGAGTCTATAGCCCCGTGTTCCACCCCACCCCCTTCCTGTGCACTCCTTCCTCTGGTTTGTGGGCTCTGCAATTGCTTCATCTTCCTCCTTTGAGAGGCAAGCTGGGCTGAGGGTGAGAGATTTTTCTGGGCTCTGCTCTCTCTTCGCTATCCAGTATCAGCTCAAGCTTTCCTTTCCTGTCTTTGCAACCTGAGGGAACTCTTTTCTATAGCGCTCTCTCTCTTTACTCATCAAGTTAAATGAGAGTTGGATCCTTTTCCAGACTTGAGCTTGTAATGATTCCATTCCCAAAGAGTTATGCTTTTAAAAGAACATAGATGTGCTAAACTTGGGATTGACTTGGGGACTCTTGTAAACCCCAGAGAACTCCACTGTGTAGTTATTGTGAAAGAACTTGCTTAACAGTCTGCTAATTTGTCTGAATTTTCTCTAAATGCAATTATGTGCAAAGCCTCTTAAGACTAATGCTCTGAATTTGCAGTTGGCAGCTTCCTATTAGGGCTCTGAAAGGCTCCTAAGTCCTGGAGATTATGTCTTCTTATAGCAAGCCTAGGTGTGTATTATTTAAAGAACCCTAATTCATAAGAGACTGTATTTGATCCCCAGCACAGACAAACAACACCCCTTCAGTTATCAACCTGTGGGTCACAACATTGGAAAACACATATTTCTGATAGTTTTAGGAACCCCCAGTCATAAATCTATCTTTTTTGATCCACAGGTTGAGAACCGTTGTTTCAGGAGATTTTAATGGAGGGCCTTAAAATGCTCCATTACTGTCAGTGGCCACAGTGAACTTCCCCCTTATAGGTCAGGTTATAATTATACTCGAATTGGATCTTATTTTTAGCTCGTATATGCCATCTATCATCACCAGCCTTACATTTTAGAGTGCACCAGCCACTGTCAGGAACCTTGTCTTGAATTATTTAAAATCAAGTGATGTTTCACTAACTGTGTTTTGAAATAAGATCTATTTTAGTCTTTAGTCTATAAAGCAAGGGAGGCCTTGGTAGCTGGATAAAGAAAATTGCCTTACTCTTATTTCTGACATCCCAGTAAATTTGTACTTGTAAGACCTTAATAGACTTACTGCTTCTGTCACTAAAACTTGAAGATTTTAACAGTTTCTCCCCCACAAAAACCAAACTTCAGCACTTTTCTAGTGCTCTTGAAATTGTTAAGGCTCCACTGTGGCTTCTTGAAGGCATGGAGCATGTCTGACTCTCTGAGTCACTTCCTGTTTTGTCTCCAGAGCCCTCCATGTTCCCTAGAGCAGGGTACCCATGAATGAAATGAATTAGTGAATGATTAGTGAATGAAATGAAGGAATGAAGTTAGAGACAGCTGCATTTTCATGACAATATAGGATGCACAAAAACTAGTGGTGCGTCTGGGAGAGGGAGGCAGGAGGATTGTGTGAGTTTAAAACCAGCCTGGTCTACATAGAGAATTCCTGAGCAGTCTAGACTTCAGTGTAAGACCTTCCCGTCCCCCCCTTAAAAAAGTATTTAACCCTTCTTAAGAAGAGACTTAGTCTAGAATTTGAGTTACATAAATATTGATACTCCCCTACCCCCCTTGGTGGTAGAGCTGAATCTTACAGGTGAGTTGAAGGCCCAGGCAGCCTGTCTAGACATCAGTATTTCCATGGTGCATGTTGTATGAAGAAGGCTGTGGGTGTGAACTAGCTGTCTTTGCATCAGAACACCTAGAATCTGGCCAACTTCTTGCTTGTCTTTGGACATTAGTCAGCCTGCAAATCCCTGATTTGTTTATTTAGTTCAGAGCAATACCATGGAAACAATAACCATCACATTGGCCTGTGTTTACGCTTATGACAAACAATTGATATGCATCGGTTCCTTTAGTAGTCCTTGCAGTGGTTTTGTGAGATAGGTATTGCTGTTCTTTCCTTTTCACAGATGAAGAAACTGGGCTTAAGGAAATAATTTCTCCAAGGTCACACAGCTGCTACATGATGGGGAGTACATGCTCTTCACCACGTAGATAACCAATGCTTCTTTGAGAATTTAGAGCACATATGGCATCCAGGAGAGGCTTGCTGTGTACTAAACCAGACTAGATGATCAATAGGGGGTGCTAAACAGGCCACACACAGTCTCTTAGAATTTGTCACAGTATCAATGGCTGCTGCTTACTATAAACCTGCTTGATGCTGGGAATTTCTTTTTATGGTAACTCACTGAGTTGTTGTAAGAGGTATTTTTGTCATGTTTTATGTGAAAAACAAAGTTCAGAAAAGCTGAGATATTGGCTTGGGATGATGTGTTATTGGCTTGGGATGATGTAATGTTGGCTTGGGATGATGTGTTATTGGCTTGGGATGATATAATGTTGGTGTGGGATGATATAATGTTGATGTGGGATGATGTAAATAGCACACGATGCAGCTGAGGATGAAATCCAGGTTGGACCTTCCTAAAAGGCCTTACTCTTTCTGCTCCCTGACTTCTTGTGATTAAACTCAGATTTGTTATTTATCATATACCTGCCACATTACTTTAAAACAATTACTTATTTTTCATTGAGGCATAGTTGACAAAAATTTTAAATATTGTTCCCAAGTATGATGTTCTGATACATGTATGACACTACGGAATGGTTAAGTCATGGTAATCAACAGTCCACCACCTTACTGACATATCAATAAGCTGTTGGTTTTTTGTTTTGTTTTAGTTTTTTGTTTTTGTCATGAGAATGTTCCCAATCCGCCCTCCTCAGTCTTCTACTTCGACTAACTGATTTCTGGGATCCAAGGTTCACACTGGTGCCGTCTTTGCATTACAGATTAAATTTATTGTTTAAAGTTCATGGGTCACTGTTGTCACTCCACCCACAAGACTCTTGCAGTTTGCTTCTTTTCACACCCATGATCTTGAGAAAAGGTTGGTGTAACGAGTCTTTAAATAGTTATTAGTACATGTTCAGGTGAAGCACATGACAGCAAAGCTGCTCACATCCCCCTGCTTTTTCTTTTTCTTCATTCCCTCCTCCTATAGTTGTAAAATAAGATAGGACTTGAGAAAACACTCTTTCCTGAGAATTGTTACCCTCTTATGTTTCTAAGAGGGTTAGGAAAATAGATGAGTAATTCCTTTGAATTAGTGGCTTTGAATAGTGGCTGATTCCATGCTGACCACTAGAACTCTGAAATGATAAAAGTAGTTGTCCTTTGAAGATATTTTTGAATATTTGAGAACTTGTGTTTTAGTTTGATCCACTTAAGATCTTTAATGAACACCTATTGCATGCCATGCACTTGAGTGTATCATGAGGATTGAGGCCTGTAAAACAGTGTGATTGGGACACAAAGAAAAAAATATATCTCCTAGATGACTTGATATATGTATCATTATAGAATAAAACATAATACAGTTTGACATATAGTGTTCTGTAGGGTATTATGGAGTATGAGATCATTTTTCTTAGTGGAGTTGGGACATGCAATGTAAAGTGATAGCCTTCTTGCTCTGTCTTGAAGGACAAATAGTATGGACAGGGAGAGTAAGTTCCTGGGCAAAAGATTAGTAGGAGAAAAGTGAGTATTGAGATAGTGGAGGATAGCCCTGAGTGTTTCCAGTCAAGGCACAGGCAGAAGTAACAGAGAGCTGAGTTTACATCGTGAGTAAGGAGGCACATTAGTACAGCTGACTAGTCTTTCTGTCGTCACACCCTCTTGGTTCTCTGTCCTCAGTCTCTTTCGTGGCTTATTTTTCTTAGCCTGAACTTTCTACCTGTTGACTGATGCCAGCAACTCTGTTTTCCTAATTTACTAGCCTTAAACTACCCTTGAATACCCTCTGCACACTAGCAACTGCCAAACCTTGGGGTCAATTTCTCCATAGCTTAATACACGAAGAATGCACAACAAAGTTTCTATTCAACATCTTCACTTCGATGTTTAATTTTCTATGCCCAAGTACTCATAATGGTTCATTACCACCATCTGTTGGAAGCCTGTTCTTCATCAACCCTCGCCATCATAGTTAATAAGTCTTTGTTGCTTGTTTTCTGCAAACTAGGAGTTAATCTATTTTTGCCTTCGTTCTCACTTCTCCCAAATGATAAATTATTTTGATTCTAAAACTACCTAACCCCAAATAGGTGAATGCCCTTTTTATTAGGAGGTTGTAATGGTGTCATGGTGTTATTTTGATAAAAATGGACGTTAAACTAAAAAGATCCCCACAGTTGAAAGAAATACGTTCAGCTTCTTTCCAGAAATTAACTTATAAGTTGTCTATAAGAACCATGTATTCTTCAGTTTGCAGGTATGTTAGAATTGTTTCCTCCTGAATTCCAAAACAGCCCTGCAGCCCCTTGCCTGCAGACACCCAGGTACAGTATGTTAATTTTACAAATACATGTTTATGTATATGTGTTTTATTCAGTGAAAATTACATTTTAAAAGCTCATAGTTTTTATCAAAATGAATTGAAAGTCTTGAAACATGGTATAAAGGTAGATGCAGCTTCCAGTACAAATGGAGTTTTCGCTAGGTACACATTTAGGAAGACAAAGAGATACAGTTCTAGACAGATGATGTCTTGGAATTTCTATTGCTGTGATGGAACATTATGAACATCAGCAACTTGTGAAGGGAAGGATTTATTTGCCTTATGCTTCCACATAGCTGATCATTACTGAAGAAAGTCAGGGCAGGAACTCAAGCAGAGCAGTAACCTGGAGTCAGGACTCATGTGGAGGCCATGAAAGGGTGCTGCTTACTGGTTTGCTCCTTGTTACTTGCTCAGTCTGCTTTCTTATAGCACCCAGGGCCACCAGCCCAAGGGCAGCACCACCCTTCCACATCAATCACTAATTAAGAAGACCCCCCCCCCCACAGGCTTGCTCACAGCTGGATCTAAATTATGGAGGCAATTTCTCAACTGAGGTTCCTTCCTCCCAGAGGACTTGAACTTGTGTTGAGTTGACCTAAAACTAGCCAGCACGGGTGATTTAGTATATAAAATAGATTTAATTTGTTTCATCTCTCTGTAGGTCTCAAAATTTACACTTAGGGCTAGAGAGATGGTTAGTGGTCTGAGCACACACTGGCAGCATGCTATCACAGAGGACCTGGGTTTGATTTCCAGAACCCACATGCTGGCTCATAACCATCTTCTGGCCTGTGTGGGCACCAGACATACATGTGGTACACAGATACACATGCAGGTAAAACACCCATCCATATACATAAAATCATTTTAAAAATAGTTATTTTTGTGTGTGTAATTCTCATGTAAGTTTCAGGGTAGCTTCATTTTGGTGGATACTGATAAAATTGTCACACTCACCCCTTTATGTTCATTTCTCCTCAGTACTCCCAATGAACTCCATCATCAACACAGGAGTGTCACCATCAAACTGAGGTAAAGTTCTAGGCCAGTCTGGGCTACTTAGCAATGCTGAGCATGAGTGGGGGTCGGTGGGTATGGCATGCACAAAAGGAGGAGGCAGGAAGAGAAGCAAACAAGAGAGTGGGGAGAGAGAGGAACACGTTTTAGAGAGAAATGTGAACTTAACAAGAAGACAAATGGAGTTATTACTGGAAAAGATGTTCAGAGGGACTGTGTGACATTTGCATCTCTATTGGACTTTTCATTGGGGCTACTCCATCAGCTAAGCTATAAACAAAGCAGTTGAATTAGCCAAGGTAAATCATGCTAGGCTGTGGTTACAAACAGTCTCAAAATCTTGGTCCATAAAAAAAACAGAATAGTTCTCACTTGTGGCACATGCTCACACAGGATCCCCATGGGTTCTGCTTGCTGAACTTCCTTCAGAACACAGGCTAATGGAGCAACTATCTTTTGGTCACTATAGCAACTTCAAAAACCAAAAGCTCTGAAGAGACTTGTATTATAATTTATATCTGATATGGGAGTTGTGGTAGTTTGAATGTAATTGGCCCCTATAAGCTCATAGGGAGTGGCACTGTTAGGAGGTGTGGCTTTATTGGAGGAAGTGTGCCACTGTGGGGGTGGGCTTTAAGATCTCATGAATGCTCAAGCCATGCCCAGTGTTTCAGACCACTTCCTGTTGCCTGTGGGTCAGGACTTTCAGCTCCTCCAGCACCATGTTATACCATCATGATAATGGATTAAACCTCTGAAAACGGAAGCCACCCTGGTTAAATGTTTTTCCTTTATAAGAGTTCATGGTCATGGTGTCTCTTCATAGCAATAGAAATCCTAAGACAGAAGTGAAACATATTTTCTTATTTATCTTATTTTATGTGTTTGGGTGTTTTTCCTGCATGTATATCTGTATACCACATGTGTGTAGTGCCTGTAGAGGTCAGTGCCTTGAATTCTCTTTTTTTGGGGAGGGGGTTTCCGAGACAAGGTTTCTCTGTGACTTTGGAGTCTGTCCTGGGACTAGCTCTTGTAGACCAGGCTGGTCTCGAACTTACAGAGATCCACCTGCCTCTGCCTCCAGAGTGCTGGGATTAAAGGCATGTGCCACCAATATCCGACTGAGCCTTGAATTCTCAGTACCATAGTGTGGGTGCTGAGAATTAAACCCAGGTCCTACAGAAGATCAGCAAGTGCTTTCAAATGGAGAACAATCTCTCCTGCCTGTGAAACATGTTTCCATATAACTGGTTAGTCATAACTAGACAGAGAGCCCCAAGCAAGGGGGGGGGTAAAACTGCAATACTGACGATCAGCACTAATGAGGACCAGAAAGAGATTCAGACCGAGTCTGGTATTCCCCCCACCACCACCAGGCCTCCCATTTCTGTAACTCTGGCAAAAAGAACCCACTTCATCAATAAAAAATTGAATTCAGTTTTCTTTCATTTTATGCTTGAAATTTGAAAAGAGCTCTGTTTATAAGGAAGTGAGGGTTGAGCACCATGAGTGCAAAAAATAAAGATCTTCGGGCTTGGGAGATGGCTCAGTGGTTAAGAGTACCTTCTGTTCTTGCAGGGGACCCAGGTTCGGTACCCAGCATCCACAAGGCAGCCCATAACCATCCATAACTTTGGGATCTGACACTTTCTTCTGACTCAGGCACCAGGTATGCACATGGTGTACATACAGCCAGGCACACATATGCTGTACATACATACAGTCAGGCACACAATGCTGTACATGCATGCAGTCAGGCACACACATGCTGTACATACATACATACAGGCACACACATGCTGCACATATATACTTGCAGGCACACACATGGTGTACATACATACAGTCAGGCATACACATGCTGTGCATACAGACAGTCAGCACACACATGGTGTATATACATGCATGCAGGCAAAACACCCCTCATACACATACACATACACACATAATAAAATAAGTACATTGAAAAAAAATGAAGGTCTTTAAAGCTAATAGACTTTTTGGCCACTAACATGGACTTTTTAAAACATGTATGTGAAATTACATTTATAATGCTTAGTCAAGCCAGTCAATTACAAAAATTGGTCTGTTTACACCATTTCTGTCACTAGGTGAAGAGCAGTCCTGTATTAAAAGGATACTTTATTTCTTCGTTTGGAATAAAAAATTACATAGCCTCAATTTTTTGGCTCTTTTTTTGTTTTAGATTAGGTATGCCTATCCACTTAAATATGTACAAGATGTATGGCAATGGTCTTCTCCCTGCAATGTCTTAGTGTTCTCTGTAAAAATGGGAATAGTAGGGCCCACTCTTACTGCTTTGAAGCTGACTTTGCTCAAGTATGTAAAACATTCAGTCCTTTGTAGATCTTTAGCAACTGTTCAAAAATGTTAGCTATTCTTATTGCATCATCCTCATTATTCCAATCGGTAGGATACACTCAGCATTTACAGCAAAGCTTTTTGTTATGATTTGAGTGTGAAATGTCCCTCCCCAACTCATGAATTTGGGCTCAGAAAACAGTGCTGTTTTAGGAGGTAGTAGCACCTTTTCCATGACTACTGCTCCCTGCTATGTTAAGCTGTGAGAAGTTACCAGCACAAGTCCTCATTGCCACAAGCCAAGTTGTCCACTGTGCCTTCCCTGCCAGTATGGGCTGTACTTGTACTCTACAATCAGCTACTCTCTTGAATTGCCTCTGCTAAGTAATTTTGTTTTGTCACAATGATAACTAAAAACCAATTAGTAAACCCTCCAAAAAGACTTTTGGAGTAAATGAAGATCACCTCTTTACTAGGGCATGAATTTCAGGAGAGTTCTTACACATTTTTAATCATTTTGATTTGTGTGTGTGCATGGTGCATGCGTGCGTGTGAGTACATACATGTGTAGGTCAGAGGACAATTTCCAGGAGTCCATTTTCACTTCCACCATGAGGGGGTTGCAGGGGTCAAACTCAGGTAGGCAGGCTTGGGAGCACACACCTTTACCCATGAAGCAATCTCACCAGCCAGCCCTCTTGGAGTCTTCAGACACTTGCCATGTAGGTACTGAGTTAAACGGGCCTCTGAAGGAATGTCTCAGGAAGGCCTGGTGTTTTGCCTCCAACCTCTACAGTTCTAAAGCCACAGGAGTCATTGTCTCTATTATTCTCACACAAGAAAATGCACCAGATCCTTATTAGCACGGAGCATGAGTTTCTCTTTGTTTTAAAAAGAAAATTCTTTAGGATGCCATTGAAGACATCCCGTTCTTGAACATGATTATCTTTACTACACGCAGGTGCCAGATCCCAGCACCTCATTTCTGGTCATGAGACATGGAAGGTAGTTAGTTAGTGATCTATATGAGATGAATTTAAGCTGACATCATGTTTAGGTCTGGATGTGATGCCATCCTCTTATGATTTTTTTTTAAATCACCTGGACTGTGGAGCTGTATTACATGTGACTTGGCACTAAATGAAAATGATACTTCCTTATTTGGCTTCCTGTCCGTCCATCAGTTGCCATAGTCTCATTTGTAATTCTTAGTGGTATCTTTGACTTAAAAAAAACCAAGCAAACAAACTCCCTTCCCAGTGAGGTAAAAGTCTTTAATATTAAATATAGGTTTTGGAGGCAGATGGGAGTCTGAGTTGGCTTGGCCTCTTACTAGTTGTGTGATATTACGCAATCTCTTGACCTCTTTCAGCTTTAATTTCCTTATTTGAGCAGGTTGTTCATTATTTGAACAGGGAAAAGGGATTGGACTTTAGAGAAGATTAGGAGATAATGTGTGTAAAAATTGTTGATGGATTGGGTTGGGCAGAGGGAGGGAGCAAGGATGACTACCAGGTTTCTAGCTCAAGGACTTGAACTTGGGTGGCGTTTTAGTGCAGGGGAGATAAAAGAAGGTGTGTGCACACGTGTGTGTGTGTGTGTGTGTGTGTGTGTGTGCGTGTAAGATCCAGAGAGGCAGAGATGGAAAGGGAAAGATTAATTGTGGCTTGAGTTTAAAAAATTTGTGTGCATGTACAGGTGTCTGTTTTCATTTGCATATGGGTCCAAGTAAGCCATGGCATGCAGGTAGTCAGAGAACAATCATGAATACTGGTTCTTGCCTTTCACCTTGTTTGATATGGAGCCTCTTGTTCACTGCCGTATAGATCAGGCTTCTTGGCCTGTGAGCTTTCAGGGATTTTTCTGTCTTTGTCTTCCATCTCACTGTAGGAACATTGAGATTTCAGATACCTTTTACCATGTCAGAGTATTCATGGCTTCTGGGAATTTGAACTTAGGTCCTCATGGTTGTGTATCAAGCACTCTCCAGTCTGGTATGGGATTTTCAGATGCTTTTTAGACAATGTAGAAATGTTGTCTTGAAAATTTCATGATGCTTAGAGAGAGATCCGAATAGGTTAACAGAGCTTCCTTGAATAAATAGAGTAATGTAGGTGAGGTGAACCTCTGCAACTAAGAGAACATTGGATGAGCCTTGAGAATGTCTTTATTTACTGGTCTTGGGAATGGGGGAATCTGGAAAAAATCACTTTTTTTATCACAAGCCTCTGATTTTCCTCTTCTTCAGATATCAGCTTTTGAAAGGAAGAAGAAATCATGTTGTCTATGTAAAACAAGGGCACAATCCTTAGTAAGGTCCCCTGGTAGACACAGAAGTGCATTTTTAAACTGTTGAAACCAACAGTAGAGAATAGAATTAGTCAAGTAAAAAGACTGAGCAGAGTTCTTGATGTTCCGAGGTCAGACACTGGGAGTGTGTTCGACAATAATCGGAATGGTTAACTTTGACTCAGTGCTCACTCGTCTAGATTCCAAAATAGCATTGATCTTGTGGTGAGAGTTTGCTGTGTAAATGCCATATTGAGAAATACAAGTGGATTTGAGGTTGCTGGGGAGTGACTAGATCAAATGTCCAATGGCTTGTAGTCTTGTTTAGGAGGCTGGTAAACTCAGGAAATGAAAACAGGAAGTTGGGGGACTCCATGAGTTTAGAGAGTGGGTGTAGGCACAGT